TAGATATCCTCTGCATTCGTTACATGAATTTTCTAATGACCGGCACTACTTCTTTAAATAGTTCGTGTGCTTCATCGTGCATTTTTATCATTTAACTAAATAGCGCACTCCAAAAATTATAAATCTTTTTTCAAATGCCTTCAAAATTCTTAAGGTTTACCTTCTTGGCTATTACTTAGCTTTAATCAGGATACTCTAATATAAGTATTATGTTAATCCGTTTTCAAAAGTCTTAGGCAGATATTCACCTCTAGCTATTGATCTTAATGCATCCCATTTAAGAAGCCAAGAGAAAGCAAAAAAAAATAATTTAAAGTAATTCAAATCATGTTAAACAATTAAAAAATGCATTTCTGAGGAAACACTTATAACCGATACTTGTTTCTTTTTTGTCGATATTCATTACTCGTTCAAATTTGTAATCGTATTATGAAAAAGTCGTTAAAACCTTTAAGAGGATTATGGGTTATTATTTGCTATGGGTATGATACTTCGATACTGAATTACAACTTATGGTTAAAAATTATAATTGTAATTAAAATTTAAATTCTAATATTTTTAATACATTCGTGTTAAGTATATATAATCATGTTATTTGAAAATATTAATCTTTAAAATGATTATCATCCACTTTGAATAGTTTTAAAATTAACATTTAAATCAAATAAAATTCTGAACCGATTATGATTGTACGATTTATATGTATTCCCAGTTACTGTATAGTAGTATAGTAGAGCATTAAAGTAAAAAACTATTGCAAATTATTCAATTCTATGGATTAATTCGTAATTTAATTTATTTTAAAATACACAAGGCGACTTGTTCGTGAAAACATGAACTTTCTCTTCGGGAAGTTAAGAAATTGTTAAAATATTTTATTTAATCACAAATTATAATATTATAAAGTTTTATAATAGATAATTTTTGCTCTTTCTAGTCTTCGAAGTAAACCAATAAAAAATGTAATTCAGTATATTATTTACCAACATAATGTGCGAGAAATATTCAATACTATTTGATATAAACTGGGGCTTTTTAATTGGAAAATCAAGCATTTATCATTTAAATTCTTATTGAATCTATATCCTGATTCGTGGGAACATAGTAATAGCTTTAGTGGATTGATTTCTATATCAGCCTTCCTATCTATAGTCAAGTGTTTGACATCGACACCACACACCCCAACTTTAGCGCTTCCTCTGCTTCCACTAGAAAACTAGGCAGGGATAGAATACCATGGTAGAGATGTTAAAAAAAAACATTTTCAATGAGTATAAGTTTTGTTCACGATATATGTTCCTAGTCAGCTTTCCAAAGTTTTGTTTGTGTGCTTACGAGTCCTGCACTTTCAATTCCCTATATTTTTTATTTTGCTCAAGATGCATTCTTTTTTGCCCTTTTACTTTTAGTCCTGCTTGATCTATTTGTTGTTGCATTCAAATGCTCATTAATGGAAAGTTTATACTTGTCCTGTAGAATATATTTCTCATACATATTTGCAAGCGGCATTGCCATGTTTTAATGGTTAGGGCTATGGGCTTGCATTCAAAGGTTTCAGATTGGATATCTGCTTTGGAATGCCTGTAGAGCAATAGTGATATTTGTTTTTTTTACTTGAAAATATAGATGGCAATATATTTTCAAGAGCAAATGGCATATTACCCGGATTGCTGAACGGTTGAGTTGCCATCTATAAAGCCACGACATTAAGAAATCATTACAATGGCTCATATGTCACTTTAAGTTCTAACTGCTGTTAATTTAATAACAAAAATAACATTCTCAAAAAGTTCAGTTGTTCCTTTATATCAAAAAGCTGACAAGCTGATAAAAATGTTAATTATTTAATGTAACCAACTTCATCGTAAAGAAAATAATTTTTAACTAGTGGGGCGCATGGCATCGTGCCTTAAGGCAAATTGCTGGAACTTCCCGTACCAAAAATTATTATTTTTTTAAAAAGATTAACATTGTTGAAAAAAAATTACTTCGAACAAATTAGATTTTTGAGAAACTATAAATTTGACAAAAAATTACTTTTTTTTTAAAAAAATTTTTCTTTATTTTGACATATTTTGGAAATTCTGAACTTTTTTTCAAAGCAATCGTACTGCTTTAACTGCATAGAGACGAAAAGTCAAAGCGCATAAGCGCCCCGTCGCCGTCTAACGGATAAACATTGGTACGGAACCCAGAAGAATGTAAACAAAATTTATACTTATTATTAAAATCTCTGTAAAATATCTGATAATTTGATGTGCATATGTCTAATGATCATTTTTGGCCGCCAAATGACATTTTTTTTACTTTTTTCACTAGATCTCCGAAACCGCTAGACCTGCCTTCATGAAAATTTGATCAATTCTTCATCTTGTCAATACAAGTAAAATGCTTTTTGAATTATTAAAATCGGACGCTCCGCTCTCTTAAAAACCGAGTTACTATTTTTGGCACTTTTTACCCCGTATCTTTGAAATGGCTAGACCTGCCTTCGTCAAAAACTAATCAGCACGTCTCCTTATCAATTTGAATCGAATGTTTTTTGAATTATTCAAATCGCTTCATCCGTTTTCCCGAAATCGTCGACGAAAATTTGTATCCGCACACACACACACATCCATTTTTTCTAAGGTATGCCAAAATGTTCAGAAGGTTTTGAAACGTGAAGATATATAAAAATTTTCATTTTCGATTTTTTTGCGATTACTATAACTTGCCATACGGGAAGTTAATTAATTACATTTTACAAAAAGAAAACCCCATGCAACTACATTATGTCTTCTTAACTTAACAAAATCGGTCGGCACATAAATCATTTAAAAATAATTATTAATAGATTTTCTTCTGGTTTTTCAATCCTGGCTTTTACGTGTCGTCCAAACATTTCCACTGTGGCCACCCCTCGCCTTCTATATCGTGAGTTTATTTCTTCTATCTCGGCTTTATCGCAGCAAGCGTTGGGTCCGTATCAAGCGCAAAAGCGAGCCATTTATATTATAATTTCCATTGTGCGAAGGCGAAAGCACATAAAGGGACACTGGCGCCCGAGAAAAGCACATTTAATGAAGTGACTTGATGGAGTGTTGTCTGCAGATGAAAGATGAT